ATATGTGCAAAGATGTAAATATCTTTAAGCTTCAGAGACTTAAGTTGGGAAGTTCAGTCAAATTTTATGTGGCTTCAGCGAAGAGAGCTGGGATAATTTCCCAAGTTAGGCTTAACAGAGAAAGGCACTAAGAGGTTATCTACCAGGATTTCTAAATTATTTTTAAAGAAAGAACTCTTAAATAAAATCTTAGGTAGGAGCCCAATACGTAGAATGGATGAAAGTGGAACTTCCCTGTTTGAAGGGGATGGGGTGGGAGCAGAGACCTGCAGGCTCTCTGTCCCTTTTCTTCACCTGCTATGGCCCTTGAAGGATTCCATGCAATTCCACAGGGCCTGCAGAGCACCATTTGAAATCACCTGTGGTTAGTCTGATCCTCTCTTGATTTTATAAATAAGGTAACTGAAGGCTCAGAGACGGTGAATTGCATGCTTAAGACCCAAACAGTTGTAGGATAAAACCTCAAACCCAATTGTCGTTTTTATACCGCATTATGCTGCTTTCCTTCTGGTCTGTACCAGGATCTAATTTCTACCATAGAAAGGCATGGTTTTAGGTCTCGAAATCAATTATTCATGAGTTTACTATTACCTTAAGCCTTGGTCGTTTAATATTTTGAATGACACTTCGGTAAGAAGATAATCCCCTCATGCATGGAACACAAGTTAGTTGCTGGGAAGGGTGGTGGAGGGGATATAAAGGGATAGGAGAGAAGCACTGGTACAGTTTTGCAGAAGCTTAACCTGAGATTGGGAGGGGCTGGGACTCACCACCTCTGAAATCTAGCTCCATTTTTAAAAACGTTTTAAGAAGGATGCACAGTTCCCATAGAGAAAGGATAATGCGTTTTGATTTTGTCTCATTGTACTTATTGTACATGACGCACAGATTGTAACCAAAAGAAAAAATGCCAAGTACAATTTTATAATTAATGGTACAGCTCCTTTAGTATTAGAATGGTTTTTATAAATGATTTAAAAATATTATTTCTATGACACATGTATAATTTGGGCCCATCTGTTGAATAAATTAATTAGTGGTATGGATCATTCATCCAAATAACTGTTACTATTCATGCATAGTCTGTGATAGTACTGGTAACTACCAATTTTAAGATATAGTTTACAATTGCAACAACATCTTCAAAATTTTTTGTATAGAACAGTGGTAAAATTCATGTNTGTACTTATTGTACATGACGCACAGATTGTAACCAAAAGAAAAAATGCCAAGTACAATTTTATAATTAATGGTACAGCTCCTTTAGTATTAGAATGGTTTTTATAAATGATTTAAAAATATTATTTCTATGACACATGTATAATTTGGGCCCATCTGTTGAATAAATTAATTAGTGGTATGGATCATTCATCCAAATAACTGTTACTATTCATGCATAGTCTGTGATAGTACTGGTAACTACCAATTTTAAGATATAGTTTACAATTGCAACAACATCTTCAAAATTTTTTGTATAGAACAGTGGTAAAATTCATGTTACCATACAGAGTATGAAACAGGCTAATGGAAATATGAGATAAAATAGGCTGCTAATTAAGCAAAGGAAACTCACTAAATGGAAATTCCCAAGAGTATTTATTTACTCTTTAGGCTATCCTTTTAGGCCAACCCAATGCCTATGGGTCTTTCTTTTTTTGGAATGCTCAGACTGATGATGATCCCTTTTCTTAAAGGTGAGGGACACTTAGTCAATGGGGCACTGGACAGAGAAGAGGAGACTTAGCTCCTAGGTCCTGATTTATCTTCAAGTTGTAGTGATGCTGAGTTCTCGAGTTTTAACTCCCTTCTTTCCTAGTCCTATCTTTAAATTTATTTTTTCTCCTTTCTGTTGGAGGCACCTGGAGGACATGAGTGCACATATTTTTTGAACTTGATCAGCATTCTCCTGCTTTGCTATTGCTATAGGAAACAAAGCTAGAAATCAGAAGGAAACAGAAGACAGAAAAATGAAAAAAGGGAAGTGGAGAATGAGGAGGGATGCTAGCCTTTTTCACAGTGTGGTAGTAAGATCTTAGGCAACTGAGTACGAAATACTGCTGCAGATTGGCTTTGTGTATTTTAAAGAAAAGTGAAATATTTTTTATTCAGGATTTGGATAGAGTTAAGAATGACTAAATATATTTAAGTAGAGGCCTACTGCCATTGTTACTATTATTACCATGACTGACTATTATTCAGTCTCAGGACTATTTTATGTGTAACTGTGTGTAAGAGGATTACCTCTGAGAAGTAGCTGTCCAAGAAAGCCATGTTCATGCCGGTGTCTGCGTATTCCCGCAGGGTTCCCATCGTGGAACTTCTCCTCCTCACTGCTCCTCCGGCCATGAGGCCAGCAGCTGTCCCCAGACCTGTATTGAGTTCCACTCCTGATATGCCTCCTTCAACCGTGCCTCCGCCCGCATAGGTGTTGGTGTAGATTTCTGAAAGGAGAGGGTGTTCTATTATAGTGTTTGACTTGCCTGCCTGCTTATCCATCTAAAACACAGCTGGCCGCTATCTGCTGGTGCCACCATCACCAATGTCCCCACCCCTGCCGCCACCACCCAACAAAGAGCAGGTTCTAGAAAGCTAGGCAAGGAGCCATAGGAAATATAATCTGCTGGCTTGGTGACAAAAGTAAATGAGTGATGCAGAGGGAGTCAGCGATCAGAGGAGGCCTTCTCACATTTGCACAAACTTGACCCCTAGACTTGAATGTGTAGAACTTGCAAAGTGGAGCTTGGCCTCTGAGCAGGCGCCAGTTCCTGCCATTGCTGCCTCTGGGAAGCCACCCCAGCCCATCTGGGAAGGCTTGATTCATTCGAGAACCTTCCAAAGCAAGGCCAGCGGTGTGATGGCTGGGACAGAAACTCGTAGTCCCCATTTGCCTTAGCACTGGATGGAGAGCTGGCTCTCACTGGGATGTTCTGTCACCAATGTTCTGTGCATGGAAAGGAGAAGGCTTGGGATACTAAGGAACCATCACTAAAAAATCTCACTTCTGCTCCAGAATTTGGCAACCTCTCTACTTGTTTAATCACTGCTCAATAGCTGGCTGGGTAAGACACTGGTGAGACAAAATCATGTGTAAGTTTAAGAAAATTCTTTCAGGGCCGGCCCGGTGGCTCACTGGATAGTGCGCCGCTTGGGAAGCGCGGCGGTGCTCTCGCCGAGGGGTAACTGTGTGTAAGAGGATTACCTCTGAGAAGTAGCTGTCCAAGAAAGCCATGTTCATGCCAGTGTCTGCGTATTCCCGCAGGGTTCCCATCGTGGAACTTCTCCTCCTCACTGCTCCTCCAGCCATGAGGCCAGCAGCTGTCCCCAGACCTGTATTGAGTTCCACTCCTGATATGCCTCCTTCAACCGTGCCTCCGCCCGCATAGGTGTTGGTGTAGATTTCTGAAAGGAGAGGGTGTTCTATTATAGTGTTTGACTTGCCTGCCTGCTTATCCATCTAAAACACAGCTGGCCGCTATCTGCTGGTGCCACCATCACCAATGTCCCCACCCCTGCCGCCACCACCCAACAAAGAGCAGGTTCTAGAAAGCTAGGCAAGGAGCCATAGGAAATATAATCTGCTGGCTTGGTGACAAAAGTAAATGAGTGATGCAGAGGGAGTCAGCGATCAGAGGAGGCCTTCTCACATTTGCACAAACTTGACCCCTAGACTTGAATGTGTAGAACTTGCAAAGTGGAGCTTGGCCTCTGAGCAGGCACCAGTTCCTGCCATTGCTGCCTCTGGGAAGCCACCCCAGCCCATCTGGGAAGGCTTGACTCATTCAGGAACCTTCCAAAGCAAGGCCAGCGGCGTGATGGCTGGGACAGAAACTCGTAGTCCCCATTTGACTTAGCACTGGAGAGCTGGCTCTCACTGTGATGTTCTGTCACCAATGTTCTTTGCATGGAAAGGAGAAGGCTTGGGATACTAAGGAACCATCACTAAAAAATCTCACTTCTGCTCCAGAATTTGGCAACCTCTCTACTTGTTCAATCACTGCTCAATAGCTGGCTGGGTAAGACACTGGTGAGACAAAACCATGTGTAAGTTTAAGAAAATTCTTTCAGTGTGTTATTAGAACACATTTGCTGCTTTTTCTTTTCATCTGTTCTTTTTAAAAACAGTTTCTACTATAAGTAATCATTACAACAGCATGCACTGTATGTCAGGCACTATTCTGATGTATATTTTGTGATACATATACACACATATACCTACATACATACACATAACCTATATATGTATGTGTATATATCATACATAATGTGTGTGTGTGTGTGTGTGTATACCCATTGACTACTCACAGCAACATTTAAAATAAGTACTATTAAAAGCCCAGTTTCAAAGATAAGGAAACTAAGGCTCAGAGAGGGTAAGTATCTTGCCCAAGGACTTGTTACTAGTAAGCAACTGAGATGGGAATCAAACTCAAGCATTCTGGTTCCAGAGTTTGCCTTCTTAATTGCTGAATCATACTTCACTGCTTATAGCTTAAAATAGAAAAATAAAGCGGATACTTCAATATGTCCCTTTCCCTCTGATTATACTATTATCCAAGGAGAATGACAAATAATGCTTTTTTTCTATAAGGTACTTTAACATGAGGTTGGTCTGGTTGAATATCAATATGTCCCTTTCCCTCTGATTATACTATTATCCAAGGAGAATGACAAATAATGCTTTTCTTCTATAAGGTACTTTAACATGAGGTTGGTCTGGTTGAATGATTACACAATTTTTTAAAAAAGAAACAGATTTTGGTGTCCACTGACCAGAGGAATCCATACGATCCTGGGTATTAGAGGCTGTCATGGGTACACATATATTTGACACATCCTGAAAAGGAAAAACAAAAAAGATTTTTAAAATAACTGCTTTATGTTAAACATTTAAAAACTGACATCTTTTCATTTTTGTCTGGTGTGTAATTGTGAAGACATGCTCAATTTGCATTGAAATCCCATGCTTCTCTGGAAAGTGAAGGTCCACTCACCCTGTCCTCGGGATGGCCCCCTTCTATTCTCCAAGACTGTATCACTCCTTCTCCCCCCTCAGGCACAGGAGCAAACCGTGTCCCCAGGCCTTCTGGCTGTCTTCGTTTACAGCAACACATGAGCAGCAACAGGGGTACCACTGCCCAAGCAAGTGACAAAGAAGAGTAAACACGTATTGCTCAACTGAGGAAGTCATTGAATGAATCATTTTTTTTGGTGGCATTATATTTAGTACCAAAGGGATAAATACAAATGTAAGAAAATATCAGTTTTTCCTCTGAAGGATTGAGTATACACATCCAAGTTTATAAACACAAAGCCACCAAATCACATAGAATTTTAGAGCTGGAACAGAGGGAGTTTGAAATCTTGTAATCCAGGTTATTTACTGACAGATTAGGAAAGTAAGGTCCAATCTTCCCTCTAGTCCAAGACTTGTGAGCCAGTTGGTGGCAGATCCAGGATTCAAATCCAATTTTCTAATTCATAGTCTTTCATGTACATGCACACATATTTACATATGTGTATGTATACATATATAACTGTGTACTATATATATTTTAAGCATATTTATATGTATGTATACACATGCATAAATATGTATACCTCCATGGGCATGCATACATGCCTGGGTACATGAATAAATACATATTTATGCACAGACATCTCTGTGGATATGGATATGTATTTGCATACCCTTGTACAAACTCATATATATACAAACACCAAAGTATACACACATTTCAGTTACACCACATCATCAAAAATGAGGGTACTTCAGAAAGTTCATGGAAATACAGAATTAAAAGATAATATAAATCCTTCCATGAACTTTTTGAAGTAGCCTTGTATGTTATCAAGAGGACTGCATACAGGATTCAGTTGTACGACCTAGCGATAGGACCCTTCTTCAACTCTTACTATATTTACACTTAAAATAAAACAATCAAATATCACTCGCTAAACTTAATTGCACTATTTACATTTATTATTTTAAAGGCTTTGTCTATACAATACATATAATGGAAAATTAGAGCTACCACAAAATTTTAACTGTCCAAATGTTTCTGCTAACAGAAAATTTTTCATTTATCATCCTGATAATCACTGGAATTTTACCTTTTAATCCATGATTATAGACATTTCTTAAGTTTTCTAAGATTCTAGAATACACTCGGTTTTGTTCTTTGGGTTCACTCTGATTGTTACACTTTCCTAATTCCTTAGCACAACATTGCATTTTGCTGAATTATATTTAACAACATTGAATTTAATTATAGGTACAGAAGAGAAAATGCAAGCTGCTACATGAGCTTTAATTTCATTTAAACAGTTAACTTGGCAATTTTACCATCTGTACTATGAACAATGAAAGGTCAAATTATACCTTTCCAGAGAAGTTTCTGGAAAAAGACTCAAACTAGAATTGGTAGCCTCTAGATAACTGCTCCACTCATACTATGTATCTGTGAATTGAGATGTGTGCTAGGTCGCTCACCAAGGTGGGCATGAGCTCTGTCTGACAAAGGTGCATCTAACATATGAAATGTTTTTAGCATATACCAAATACAGTTACTGTGTGCATAATCTCATTGGGAACTAACATCAAAAGTCTTAATTTGAGGCCCTTTGGGAATATAAGATTTTGGCTAAGACCTCTCTCCCCACTATGATACCTCCCCTCTCCCTGATAATAGACCGTGGGCTTCTTCTTTGAAAACAAGTGTCCATAGGGCTATTCCCCTCCTATTGTCCAATCAGCTTAACAACTCTCATGCTTTCTTTGCTTGGGTCAGGAAAAGTCATGAAATTTTGAGTGCTGGTCTGATGGAAATGAGCTGGTACTGGGTTTTTAACCCTGAACTGCTCATCTGCCTCACCAGAGAGTTTGAACACGCCCATACTTGGGTCTTATCTTGAGTGGGGCCCAGGCACCTGTAATTTTTAAAGACCTCCAAGTGATTCTTATGCACAGCTGGGTTGAGAACCATTGACAAAGGTTAGCTGATACCTCTGCTCAATTGCTGTAGAGTCATATTCTGGGAAAATATCTCTAATATCATTTTGAGAATCACTCATGATCTTTGTGTTGCCTCGAAAACTCACAGATTATTTTAAGAAAGCAAGCTTGCCCAAAAGTCAATTGTTATTTTTTTATACCTTGAAATGATAATGTTTTAATTTGTGCTCATCCAATAAAACATATAAACAGTTCCACAAGTTTAATCCTCTAATTTGAGAACCCAGATTTTGATTCCCATGAAATCTAAGTACTGCAGGGGCAACGTCAAATGCGTGAAGTATCTCTCCTCTGAGGAGCTGTTTTAATACATAGTATAGTGAGAGGAAGACCTTGTTTTGAAATTTGTGCTTGGGAACCTTGCCCTGTGACTGTGGTCTTAGTTCAGACACTCATCCAGAGCCCAGAGGTTAATTCCCAGGCTCTTCTTTCTCCTTCCTACTACATCAGAGTGAGCAGGTCACCTGAGCTCCCAAGTCCTCATTGACTTTCATTGCCTGTGGACTGAAGCCCAGAACACTCAGTGCACCATGAACATCCCTCCACTCTGGCTTGCAGCTTACCTTTCAGCCTCTCCACCTCCAGAACGTGCTGTGCCCATCTGTCCCTCTCCCCTGTTTGTTTGTGTTGTTCCTTTGTCCTAGATTGCCTATTGGATTTCCCTACACACCACCCTCCTTCTAAGAAAACCCTCAGCTTTCAGGGCCCATTGCAAAATCCACTTCTTCCAAAAAGATTTTCCCAACTTCCCACTTTGACTTAATTGCTTCTGCCTCTCTACTCTTAAAGCACATTGATGAAATTTCCGTTATAGGATTTATTTTGTGCTTTCCTATAACATATTTAATGATTTGCATGTTTCTCATCTGTAAACCCTCATTAACCCTAGACCTTCTTAATTATCATTATTGAATTAGTACCTCCTCTTATCAGTCCCATTGTTTTCAAGGGCACACAAAAATTGCCATATATACCAAAAAGAAATGGCCAAATGAACTGAGTCATCCCAATGAGCCTGGTCACAGTCCTATTTTGGAAAACTGCCAAAAAGAAAGATTTAATTTGGTACTTACAAAGTAGCAGTAAGAGGCCCAGAATGATCAAGCCAATGCCTGCTGGTCCAAGACCAACATTTGAAGCCACAATTTCATCCTCAGTGACAGGCCCATATACGACATTAGTAACATCCCCGGTGTAGATGCCTGTGGTACTAGATTGCAAGCACACCTGGTCATTATCACAATCACAGGCAACTAACTGTACCATCTGTGGCAATTCACATGCCCTGTTATAGCTGTCCTTCACTATGATTGGGACTTCATAAAGTCCTGGAGATAAAGGCTGCTCAGTCATAAGGATTGCAGAGGTAGCTGAAAAGGAAGGGAAGAAACAGAAAATAAATTACAATTCATTGACGGTAACCCTTCCTAATACCCAGGACTAATCTAGAGCCTAATTTTTTCATGCTTAGTCATAAAGTACCCTGTACTTTTTTATATATATATTTATAATTAATTGTTCAATACTGCTCGGGCTGGATTGTTATTTCTACAAAGCAGGCAGGGACCCTGTTGCTTCTTTCCAGAGCAACAGTAATTGGCATATAAGACACAGTCTAAATATTTGTCCAAAGAGTGAAAAATATTGAGCTGAAAGGAAATATTGGATGTCTTCTATTTAGGATTTCAGCTTACAAATATACCTTTAAGACTGTTGTTTATCTCTTCTTCAAAATTATTGCCCCCATTCAAAATTATTCCAATAGCTGTTATTTTCCTAATTCTTTGTGCTACCATTGCCTATCCATTTTTATAGAAAATATTGCTTAAAACATTGGCTGAAACTTATTTATCTACCCAAGGGTGGGTTTAGAGATTAAATTTACACCTAAAACCGTGAATGATAATTGATGACTTCATAACACTCAATATTGTTATTGTGGTTTATTATCTTCAGTTAGCTATATGACACACTAGCTACATCTACCAAAATCTAACCCATGCATAAAGAATCGAACAAGGCAATGTCACAGTGCACTACATGAAGTTCATTCTGTTCTTTAACACCAATATCACAACAGGGCTTAGGGATATTATCTCCAGTGTGGCTATATTTTTTACTGGTAAATCTATAATATTACTTGAACACCTTTACCAATCTCCATAGAACATTTTTTCTTATATTCTTATTCATAATATCTAGGATCTGAATGAGGAAAATAGTGGTTAGCAATTATTATTTAAGAATGGCATATTCAGTTTTATAGGGGAAAGTGAACTCAGAGTTGTCTTGATTTTAGTAGAATTTCTTTGATGTATTTAGTTTAAAAAAATATGAAAGTGTGTCTGTTGAAAAAAGCTAAAAAGAGTTGATGATAAAATAGAAGTTGCCTAATTTTCTCCTTTGACCAATTCTTAATCGGTGGCATTTTTTCCGGCGTCATTTTAGGGTCTCTTCATTCTATGAATGGAGAAGCTTGGTGGCCTCAGAGAAGAGAGAAGTATCTCCTCTCACCTTAGGCTCCACAGTCTGATCCTTATCCCATGAAGTCTTTCCTATTGCCCCAAATGCTTTCAGATTAGGAAGCTGTCTTAGCCCAGATGAGGTCCTCTCATAGCATGTGTTCTATCACTTATTTAACATTTCCGAAAAAAGAACCCAAGATAGATAAAATGTTATGTTGCCTGAAATTTACTGTTTGTTATCAATGTCAGGCATTTATTTTTATGTAGCTATGGTCAGGACATATACACCTACTACTTTGGGATCTGTTTTTCACTTTACTTTCTTTGGTTTATGTATTCTTTTGTATCTAAATACTTTGCAGAATTCTAACTTTAATGGCTATATGTTAATAATACCACATCTGAATAATACATACCCATAGTTTGCTTAACCATTCCTCTAATATTGGAAATTTGTATTTAAATTTTTACCCTTAAAAATAATTCTGAACTCATAGGTCTTCAAAAAACAATTTTATTAATCTTACACGCTCCTAAGTGAGTAGAAAATGTATAAATGTATTTTCAGAGGCATTTGTGTAACTTGCCTGAAATTATTCAGTCTAGAGAACTGTGACATCCCTATTGAGTTAGTCAAGGGTTTTATTTATTTCAAACTGATCAAATATTGGTTTAGCACCCTACCCATATAAAATATGGGATAAACTGGTATTTATATACTAGTATTTGTGATTGCAGTACTGGTGAAACATTTTGACTTTTATTTTATTTCAATTTTTCCCCAAATATCCTGTGAAAGATTTTTTTCTTTATTTTTATAGCACTTTTAGTTTTACAGTGAAATTGAGCAGAAAGTATGGATAGTTCCCATACCCTCCCCCACCCACTACACAGTTTCTCCTACTATTGACATGTTATATTAATGTGGTACATTTGTTACAATTATGACTCATTATTGATATACTATTATTAACTTAATTTTATATTAGGGTTCCCACTTTGTACTGTACAGTTCTATGGGTTTTGCCCCTAATGTGCATAATGTCATGTATTAACCATTACAGTGTCATACAGAATAGTTTGATAAAAATACTCTGTGCTCCACATGAAATTTTTTTTATTAATGTAAATATGGCAAGAATTATGGAAACAGAGATAGCATTACTAAATGACTCGACTAATTATTTGGTAATCGTTTCACTTTTGGACTTAGAGTATGAGCACGTTTACATTCCACTTACCATTTATTGATCTGATATCCCACATGTCAGCTGTCCCTGGTGGCTGATCAGCAACACAGAAGGTAAAGGGGGACCCATAGGAATGATCACTAACAAATATAAGGACTGATGGGGAGGAAATGCAGATGCTTCTTTTTTCTGGAAAAATCTCTGGACAGTAATTGTTGACGTCAGGAACCTCGACACATATGGTTCCCGTAGCCGTTTTCCCAGAGCCATCTGAAACAGTAGTGTCATGGGTGTTAGCATAAGTGGTGTCGGGGGAAAATCACTAACAAATATAAGGACTGATGGGGAGGAAATGCAGATGCTTCTTTTTTCTGGAAAAATCTCTGGACAGTAATTGTTGACGTCAGGAACCTCGACACATATGGTTCCCGTAGCCGTTTTCCCAGAGCCATCTGAAACAGTAGTGTCATGGGTGTTAGCATAAGTGGTATCGGGGGAAAATTCTTTCTAATACCCTGTGATGATGCCACAGCATATGGGAACAGTAGGAGCGACTCATGAGGCATGACAGGTTCCTGCCTCCTTCAATAACCTGAAGTCACTCATGCATTTGCATGCGACCTTCCAATCACACTGGCTTCTTTTAAGTTCTTCCAACAAGTTTTTTCCTAACTCAGAACTCTCGTGCATTTTGTTTCCTCTTCCTAAAATGTTTTCATCCTCATTTCATTCTGCTAATACCTGCACATCCTAAAACAATTCTTTCTAATACCCTGTGATGATGCCACAGCATATGGGAACAGTAGGAGCGACTCATGAAGCATGACAGGTTCCTGCCTCCTTCAACAACCTGAAGTCACTCATGCATTTGCATGCGACCTTCCAGTCACACTGGCTTCTTTTAAGTTCTTCCAACAAGTTTTTTCCTAACTCAGAACTCTCGTGCATTTTGTTCCCTCTTCCTAAAATGTTTTCATCCTCATTTCATTCTGCTAATACCTGCACATCCTAAAATGGAAAATTAAATGTCCTTCCTCAGAGAAGGTTTACTGCTTTCTCTTTTCACCCTGTCCCCATAAATCAGACTCCCACACGAACTTACAGCCTTCTATTCAGGATGCTTATTGAGCTCTGTATTTGCAGAAATAACCACAATGGAAATTAATAATTATTTGTTTATGTTTTTCTTTCTGTTTTCTCTGTTGATTTTAATTATGTCCATTAGTTGCTATTTCTCTCTAAAATGGCACTTTTGAAAGCAAATGTTAATTTATTAATTTTTTTTAATACTCCATTTGAAACACATTTTTGGTTAGTGTAATTTATTAGAAAGGGCAGAGAACTAAGAGTTAGGAGTCTGGGCTTTTAGTCAACTTTTCTAATCTATTTTCTGTCACAGTGAATAAAGAATTGTTTTTACCTTGCAAGGAGCCTTAGTTTCTCATTTGTAAACTAGAACATTATCCTTTCTAGGGTACATCATAGTTTACTAGGTCATTTTCTGAGAAGTTAATAAACTTCTTTTTGAGATGTTTTCTGTATGCCTACATGGTGAAATTATTGAGTTAATTGAATGATGATAAGCCAAAAGCCTATTCACACGCTACATAATTTTGTATTGTATGTTCTTATACCCTATTCAGCACTGGACTTCCTAGACGAAAGAGTCTATTTTATTTCGTCTCTCATTAGAGAGACATCAGATTATCCCCAGATTGTTTTATTTGTCATTCTCTGGTACTCTGTGGATTTCTTATGACCTTGCAACATGGCAAGCAAAGCTTCTGCTTACAGCATTTGCTCCCTGGTGGAGTTTGCTGTACATAGAGCTCTGCCTCTTCACCCGAGGGCCGTGCCAGTGCAGATACTCTGCTTGGAAAGCTCTGTGCCAGTGCAGATACTCTGCTTGGAAAGCTCTGTGCCAGTGCAGATACTCTGCTTGGAAAGCTCTGTGCCAGCGCAGATACTCTGCTTGGAAAGCTCTGTGCCAGTGCAGATACTTTGGCGAATAAACAAGGAGCCCTGTTTTTAATTTTCTCTTGGTACATTTTGATAACACTTTTTCTTTTCATTCACTTGAAATGACTAATTTTTTGTTCTAGTTTTTGAAGATTTTCACCTATGACTGAAAGGCAAACATAGGGTGCAATCAACATGGTTTTCTGGAATATCGATAATAAATAAGACAATATTATTTATATAACTGACTCAGATGTTAGAAGTACTTTTTCTTTTCATTCACTTGAAATGACTAATTTTTTGTTCTAGTTTTTGAAGATTTTCACTTATGACTGAAAGGCAAACATAGGGTGCAATCAACATGGTTTTCTGGAATATTGATAATAAATAAGACAATATTATTTATATAACTGACTCAGATGTTAGAAGTCCCCCCCCACAACATGAGGACCAGAATGTATAGATCATAATTGCTTGGGCTTTATCATGGTTTCTTTTTCATCTTTTGCTGCTCATTTATCTTTCACTTCGTTTGGCTACTGTAAAAGTCAGATATAAACTTCATGCAAACCCACAGTATCTATCTGTTTTTCTACTTTCCTGGTTACTGACCTTTCTCCGTTGTTTTGTTCTGTAGCAGCTGGTTTCCTAGGCACGGCTTCAGAGAATCATTAACTATTGATAAACAAAGTCCTGTTGCTGCTCACCAAGAGGAATGCTTTATAGATTTTCCCACATGAGAAGTGGCTCAATTATGAGTTAATTCCATGCATCTATCTGCACTTTTAATTTGGATCTTGCATTTGGAATAACCTTGTGCTTTCATAGGCAATGCGTCTAATCAAGCGACACTCACACAGGCCTCTCACTGTAGCTCAGTCTTAGCGCCTCTAAAATAACTATATTCTTGTGGACACTGCCTCCCCCACAGGTGATCCCAAAATGAACTTTGTGCCCAGCTTGTAGCTCTTATTTAAGTAAACATTCCTAACATACTCTACAAGTGGGATCAGTCATACCCAAGAGATTAGGTCATAAACCGAAACTAAATTTTTACATATTTTAACTTTTATGTTTTATGATGTAAGCTACATACAATTTTTTTTTGAAGTAGGAGAAATAAATTATGGCTTAAGTGTAAATTATGGTTATAACTATAATTAAGTTTGGTTCTTAAAATAAGGTGTTTAGAACTTTTCATAAATCTTACACTGTGACATATTTTGAGGACTCAAATATCAACATTTTAATAATGTTAATAATATTTAATATAATAGTACTAATATTAAAATACCCCAAATAAACTTTCTTACCATCTATAGCCAGGATCTCTGCTGTGTATATCCCATTGGTAATATATTTTGACTTCTTATCAAATTCCCTAGAAAATTGTATCTCACCAGTCCTTGAATCAACTTTTAACCAGTTGCCTGCATCATGTCCTATGATATACCTGTTTTTAAATAAATAAGCTCATCATTATGATTTTATAAAAGTTAGTACTTCAGTTACATAAGAGCTACAATGTGGTTAACATATATTGCCATATATTGTGTGTGTGCTTTATAGTGATAATTGTCTTGGTTTATAAATACGTACATATTAATAAAAATCCAATGTTAAATATATTCATATACAGGTTCAAAACAGATTTTTAAAATTTCATCATTCTTACTTTTCTAGGTCTTTGTATAATTGTTAATAAAAATGTGTGAGGTTTATTTATTAAATCAGAGTAATATTCTTTATTCACCTCATTGTTGGTCTGTTCAGGGGCTTGTTCAGCTTGTCTATCTAGGTCTTGTTATAGATAATTAATTTAAAGTGGTTAACCTAATTGGAAGAAGTTCTGGTCTCTGAACCAGGCATGATTTCAAGTCTTCATTTCATTTGTCTGACATCCTTTTTCCCCACCCCATACTGACAGACTTCATAATTTTTGCTGCCTGTCAACTTGTTAGCTGACTAAATAATTAAAACTGTTAACATCAAAATAATTTATAAGTCAACTGACTTTTTTAACTCCAAAAATATTGGGAGAAAGAAAAGGAGAGAGAGAAGGGAAAGATGTAGAGAAGACTTATATATTTCACTGTAGATATTTTCAGAGTATTTTATACAGTTTGCATTCGTGTATAATCTGTGTACCTAGTGCCCCTAATACCTACCTTTCAGTTTCTCCTGTTCTGACTTTCTTTATTCTTATCAAATTTCTAAACACCTGTGTTTTAGCTTCTTCCATTGTTTTTTTCCTCTTAGGTTAAGCAGAGGGTTGAATTTAGTCTCAAAGTCATAGATAACACAGATTTTAAGAATATAAGCAGTGACTCATCTTTTATGATGTTTTATTCAGCCCAGGTCCAGGGTAGTGCAACTGACCACAAAAGATCAGAGACTTCACAGAGTAATTTAGGCAGCTCTTTGATCTTACAATTGCTGCCTGGGCACAATTACTGTTCTAACCAGTTGGAGATCTTATATTCTCTAAAGCACTATTAGAATTCTAAGAATATTTCAAATACTGTAATAGTCTTCTAAAACAAATAAACAAAACAAACAAGCAAACAAGAAAGCAAAACAAAACTCCAGAAGTTTTACAATTCACATAAAATAGCATATACTACATGAATCAACACTGAACCAAACCATGCCACGTTAACATGAACAAAGTATTTGTAGTACCTGACATTTGTTGCAGGATTTCCTGTGTCCAAATCTATGGCTGTATATGTGCCAAGCACATAATTCAGTAAAGAATCTCCTTTTATTCCTTCTTGCACATTAAAAGTCATAGAACTTGGATGAAATGTGGGTCCTTCTCTTACATTAACAATCTGTATTCTCACAGGGGTTGAGTGCATTCGAAATTGAGAAGCAACTGAGTGGTGAAATTCAGCTTGGTTTTTAACTCCAATACTAAGATGAATATTAGGCACTTGTTCGTAATCCAGCATCTGAAATGAAAGAAAGTAAAACACTCTGAAACAGCAAAAGACTCTCTTTTGATAGAATAGGAAGCCACGGTAAGCAAGCCACGCACTAGATAAAGTCTAGGAGCCATGCAATTTAGATTTTGAATTGAAAAAATTTCACTTATTAATGCATTTGGTATTTTAGACATATTATTCTCTATCTTTTGGCATAATCAAGTATGTAGGTTGCTATGGTTTGAATGTCCCCCCAAGCTCATGTTGGAGCTTGATGCCCATTGTAACAATGTTAAGAGGGTGGGAAACCCAGTTATGGTACTTGAAAGGTGGGGCCTTTAAGGGACGATTGGATTGTGAGGACTATGCCCTTGTGAATGGATTAATTCATTCATGAATTAACGGGTTATCAGGGAATAGAATGGTGGCTTTATAAGGAGAGCAAGTGAGCATGTAAAAATGCTCTTGTGATTCTTGCCATGTGATAATCTGCATTGTTGTGGACTCTGCTGAGTGCCGCCACCAAGAAAAAAGTCCTCACCAAATGTGGCCCCCTGGACCTTGGACTTCCCAGCTGCCAAAACTGTAAGAAATAATTTTATTTTCTCATAAACTACCAGTTTCAGTGTAAGCAATAGAAAAAATGGACTAATACATAGGTCATTTAAGCCTGCAACTTTTAACTGGAATCAAATTTTAGAGTTTTGGACTTTTTATATAAAAAACATTGAAATAAATAATGATTTTCTTTCCAAATGGGATGTTTATGAAAAATAAAAAATAAATTTAGAATGAAATAAAAAATATCCACAACTATTGAGTGAATAAATAGGACACAGATTTTCTTTGTAGAATTTACATTTGAGAATCTCTTGAAAGTATAATCAACAGAATAAAGAAGTCAATGTAATTCAACCTGTAATTATGTTTTTAAATGATGCAAACAACTTCTAAAGAATTCATGATTATTATAGTCAGCCCTAAACTGTAATTTAATTGCGTTGGGTCTGGTGGACAAGAACCCTCCTTTGCAGGGCACAGTCAAATAAGTAAATACTTGGCCCAGAGAAAAGTCACCTTTGAAATGGGTTTCCTGGATAAAAGATGAATAGAATCTTTTGATCCATAATGGTTGATGTGGTGACATGAAAAGTCAAAGGTGAAAAAGCAGTTGTAGAAAAGGGAGTGCAATGTCTGTTTAGATGGTGAAACATTAGAAGTGTTCTGGAAGCTAATGTAAGCATCATTTGCTACACATATTACCAGCAACAGAAGGCAAGATATCAATGCCTTATCAGCAGGATTCTGAGATAAATCTCTGCTTCTGGGGGAAATTCCATGACATCCTAAGTGTTTTCTTAGATTTTAGAGTTAAATTCTTTAGAAGAGCTGATAAGACAGAAATATTCTCAGAAATTCATTTGGGTTCCTGTTTGCAGGTGACTTGGAAGCTAATGTAAGCATCATTTGCTACACATATTACCAGCAACAGAAGGCAAGATATCAACGCCTTATCAGCAGGATTCTGAGATAAATCTCTGCTTCTCGGGGAAATTCCATGACATCCTAAGTGTTTTCTTAGATTTTAGAGTTAAATTCTTTAGAAGAGCTGATAAGACATAAATATTCTCAGAAATTCATTTGGGTTCCTGTTTGGAGGTGACCCAGCTGCCTCACTGGAATTTCAGCTAAAACTTCTGAGGTTTAGGATTTTAATTGCTTTTATACATCAATTCACAGTTGTCCATATAATATCAAGTCCACTGGTCCACATAATGGACAAGTCAACATGATACCTAGCACAGAGGTGAGTATGAATTATGTACTAAAAACTGAATTTTCAATAGGAAGAGATCCCTTTTCTACAACTCAATTTTTATTTTTTAGAATTCCATGTTACTTCAAATAAATAAAAAAATCTAAGAACCTCTATTCTTTTTTTTGTTTGTTTGTTTGACTGGTAAGGGGCTTGCAACCACCGGCATGGTGTTGTCTGCACCACGCTCAGCCAATGAGTGCACTGGCCATCCCTATATAGGATCTGAACCCACGGCTTCGGTGCTACCAGTGCCGCACTCTCCCGAGTGAGTCATGGGGCCTGCCCTAAGAACCTCTATTCCGACACAGTAGTTTCCTGGGGTTTTCTTACGTATACTTGCAAAAGCACTCTATAGATACACATTAATATGAGTCTAAAGTTCTTTCAATTATAGTAATTCACAGAATCTAGGGACAGGAAATTGGTTGAGAGCCAATCTTCCCTATAGCAGGGAAGATTACAAAAGGCAAATAGAGGAAAGGCACAAAGTCACTCATTCATTCTTTGCAAGAGGGGCCCTTTACCAATGATTTTATTATTGTGTCTGGAGGGCAGGGGTCTGCGAAGAGCAATAAAAACAATGGTTTGCCCTGGAGTCTCCTCTTGGAATGAATTGAGAGGCTGGAAAAACTCAATTTTTCCACAATCGAGGGGTATCTCTTAACAAGGATACATAGATGTGTGTTAGATCAGGTGGGGCCTAGCCTGTGGAGAGGATCTCAAAGTGAAGATCTCAAAATGAAGATGAACCCTCAGAGATGGATTTGTCTTCCGGAAAGTTTTTGTTTCAATGAATTTTAGTACAGAAGCTAAGCTAGATTTGCACACCCAGGGTTTTTTTTTTGTCTAATTTGATATGGCACTGTTAATCCTAGGAGGACACTGGTTCATTCTGGAACTGAAAATAAAACAGGGAGGAGCTTAGAAGTATGCATCCAAAAGGAATACGTGATAGCAGTTTTTCCATGTCAGGCAACTGAAAAATGGTTAAATATCTGCCAGAATGTGTATATTTTGCTTTCTAGGAAGGAATATTTTCTGGTACAAATGTGCTGAAATAGACCAGCAGGGCACACACAGCTGGAAAGGAGTTTCAATGGTGAACAGACTCGAAATAAAATACTTGGGGTGCTAGTTATTTCCTAAGACCTGTTTTACTGGCCCCCGATTACATGGTGAGGCACAGATGTGGCAGTTAAATATGACTTTGGAATCAGAGATATGGCTGGTTCATGTTTGAGTCGTTCACCATCTGGGGGAACTGAAACAAGTTAGTTCCCTCTTTGGTTCTGTTTCACTTTCTTTAAAAAAGAAATCACTCTTTTCTTCCTAGAGTTGTGAGGATTAAATGAGGTATTATGTGTAAAGCCTGTATACACACAATATAACACAATAGCTGGTGTTTAGTGATTGCATAATAAACATTAGTTAGAATTATTATAAAAATAGAGAACCAATACTTCTTTGTTAGAATTCCAATTGGGTAGTATTTTGCTTTTCTTTTAATGTGGAAGTGAATGTGTATATATATACACATTTATATTTATGTCTTTTAATAATAAACATTAGTTAGAATTATTATAAAAATAGAGAACCAATACTTCTTTGTTAGAATTCTAATTGGGTAGTATTTTGCTTTTCTTTTAATGTGGAAGTGAATGTGTATATATATACACATTTATATTTATGTCTTTTGTTAGTATTTCCATACACATATCTCAATAAATACCAAAGGAAGGTTATTATCAAAAGAGAGATTCTTGATTTTCTGAGAGATTTTCTCTCGTTAAACTATAAGTTCCTCGAGAACAGGGGCCATGTCTCATTCTCCATATTGTCAGCATATGGCAATTCTCAATCAATTTTTGTTTAATTGAATCATTTGTAATGTCCTTAGATTAAAAAAACGGTTATATAGAACTTGGTCAAAAGCCTATTCCTGAGGGACCAGTTTCCATCGGTTAAGTGGTGGCTTTAATGAAAATGGAGAGGGACACGGGAGCATTAGTGACTAATGCATTTGGAATGAGTGTCTGACCACCGGCTGTTGAAAATGCCAAAGCCTGGGAAAATTACATGTATGTTCTCCAAAATAGATAGTTCTTTTGGCTATGTACTATTAAGATTTCAAATTTTATTTTAATTGACTTTTCATATTATTTTGATGTTTTTAAGCATTTCTTTTCTTGTTTTCTTAAGAGACTTGGAAAGTTATCATCCAGGAAAAACAGGCAGATGCTTTGTTTACACAATATCTAATACTACCTTGACAAATTTTTCATAAAATCGACTAAGTTTTTTGGGCAATTGAGTAAGTACACCTTTAAAAAATATATAGCTATCACAGAAGACACATTATATAAGTCATAGATAGTGCATTGCCTGCACTGTTAATATGTTTTTTTATTTTTCATTTTTATAATTTTGTGGAGAAATTATGAATTATGCTACCAAGTTTAGTGACTTCCACTTGGCTGGGATCTACACCATTAGTTTCAGGTAAACATCATTGTCAACACTATCCTCAAAGTTTTGTGAGTCTCTCCTATCTTCCGGACACTGGGCCAAGTGCTTAGGATAGAAAAATATTAGAGATGAGTTGTTTATGTGCACAATTCTTACTATTATTTTAGTAGTAGTAGTTTCATAAATTAATATACCACATGATTTCAGTGTGCATGGTTGTGTTTTGATGGTAAAGTAGTAATACTTTAAAAACTGCTCCAGAGACTTGAAAAAGACAAGAGAAAGCCTCAGTGAATAAATAATACATTTTCATCAGGTAAAGACTAAATGGCTTCCTAATATTCTATCCAAAAAAATTTCACAATCACTTGAATAGATAAAAGTAGTAACAGAACTGAGTAATTCCAATCACGCTGTGTGCCAAGCTAAATGTGTGTGTGTGTCAGTGTTTATTTTTATAGGTGTAAGTGTTGCTTATGTTGTGAGTCCCAATTTACTTTGAGAAAAAATAATAATGTTCCCCTTATTACATTAATGTTGATTTAAATCCTATTGCCTTGTGGTTTTATTTGTTTCTAATTTGTAAATTTTTAGATTTGATTGTTGCCATGAAGTAAAAGCAAGTATTTTAAGAAAAATTATCTATATGAAAAAGTCAAACCCTGTAGTTCAGTATTCAGTGTTCCCAGCAGAGCACCCCTATGTGAATACTCCACTACCGCCCCACAGGTTTGCTCACCATGCCCTGAACAGGCTTCTCGTTTTCTCACATCTGAGTGTTTGCTCATTTTATGACTCACATTAGCAATCTCAGTTGTAAGATCTTGCTTAAACCTTCCCCACATAAAACCTTTTCAGGCAAATCTAGCCCAGGAGGACCTCACCTTCTCTTATCTCATTAATTATTTCATATTTCACTCATTTGGCAATTAACTATACTTTACATCATAGCATCTATACTACTATTTATTATATTGTTAAATCTCACACATTATCTAACTTGGGGGTGCTTACCTTATCTTCCCAACTAGATATTGGGCACTGTGAGAACAAAACAGCATATTTTTCTTGGAAATAAATATTATGTTTCTGGGCAGGAGGGCTTAGATTGACATAGTACTTTACTTAGGATGCTTGTCAATATAAGCAATATTCAAGGTTATGGCATACTGTTTTGAAGGTAGATTCTATCTCTAAGAGTCACTTAAAACTTTTTTGGAAGAAAATATTACAGAGTCCATACAGTACCTTGACGACTTTCAAAATGCCTTCATTGGTTTGGGGGTCTGTTTGAATATCAAACCAATTCCCCTCATTTCCTGAGAGAATTAAATATTTTGCCAACCAATTATCGGTGCCTTCTTCATCAAGATCAATTGCTTGTAATCGTATTAGTTCTGAACTTAAACAATTCTCTTCAATACTTGCTGAGTACTGAAATGACATAGATAAATTTTATAACCAATGAATTTTCAAAAGAAGGATATTTACTAATACATAATCATCACTTAAAATACTAACAACAAACTATGTCAGTGATTTTTGCACCATTATTAAATGTCATACGCCCAATCAGAAATACAAGAATAAAATGATTTTAAGATAGTAAAACTGATTTTCATGTGCTGTATGTGAAATCAAGGTCAAACTGGCACTTTATTTTTCTTGCTTATTTTTAATTTCTTTTACTCCTTTTTTTTAGACATGTGATCAGATGTTTTTTTTGTAAAGGACCAGATAGTAAATATATTAGGCTTTTCTCTATGTGAGAATCTGTGTTGCATCTGTAGCCGTCCCTCTGAATTGTGGGTTCCACATGCATGGATTTAACCAACTGTGGATTGACAGTATTTGGGGAAAAAAAATTACATCTGCACTAACATGTACAAATCTTTTTTCTGGTCATTATTCCCTCAACAATACAGTATAACAGCTATTTATACAGCATTTACATTGTGTTAGGTATTATAAGTAACCTAGAAATGATTTAAAGTATACAGGAAAATGTGCAAGTTATATGCAAACATTATGCCTTTTTATATCAGAGACTTTGAGCGTCTGCTGGTTTTGGTGTCCGTGGGAGGTCCTAGAACCAATCTCCTGTGGATACCGAGGGAGGACTGTACTCATCTTTGTTTTGCAGCACAAAACAGCCAGAGCCATAGACAGCACGTAAAGAAATGAGCATGGCTGTGGTCCAATAAAACAGATATTTACCAAAAAGGCAGCAAGGCAGATTTAGCCATGCTATTTTGGATTTTATGCTGTTTTATGCTTAAAGATAAAAAATGGAAGTTGAGACTGTTTGGGACTCTGGCAGAATTAGTTCAGCAAATTATGAGGCATATACAAATTCATCACTGGTTCTATGTTATTCCCACAGTTATAGCAACACATTTCCAAATTTCTACTCCACATACAGTATGTGGAGTAGATAGTTCATTACTTTCACAGAGGTCTGCTTGGAATAGTGAGTCAAAGATAAACACACAATATGAAAGTGTTATAAGAAATTCCAAGGTTTATACAGCAAAGCTGAATACATCCATACACGTAACCGAAATGGGATCATGAACTAGCAGGAAAGCAAATCAATTATTGACACTTATGGAAAAAGGATTATGAGTCACAACTTACTGAAGTTTTCTCTAAAGTGGGGAAATTATCGTTGACATCTAAAACCTTGATTCTACAGTCACACTCGGAAGACAGTCCATCTGCAGCTCCATCCCGATCTGAGCCCCTCACAAGTAGGTTGTACATACTGTGTTGCTTAATGAAGATGAAAAAGAATTGTAAGACTTAGGTCTTGTCTTGAATAAAACCCAACACAATCCAATGCTGCTACTTCTCTTTGTTTTATATACACATCAAATGAAATCTATACAATTGAGCTTTTAATTTTCATCAAAACTGATTGGATTATTTTTCCTTCCTTCCTTTTACATTGGAATAAGGACACACATGAATCATTTTATCTTCATCTTTTCAAAATTGAATTCTTTATTTCTTATGATTCATTCATGAAATCTATACAATTGAGCTTTTAATTTTCATCAAAACTGATTGGATTATTTTTCCTTCCTTTTACATTGGAATAAGGACACACATGAATCATTTTATCTTCATCTTTTCAAAATTGAATTCTTTATTTCTTATGATTCATTCATAGAAGGTTTTACCTCTCTGTCAAGGAAACTGGACAGCGTGCGGACTTCTCCTGTGTACCTGTTCACCATGAACATAGGTGCACCTGCAGGCTCCTGGGAGATGATCTTGTAGGCAATTTTAGAATTCAGGTGATTTTCTTCATCTGCATCTGTGGCACTTAACTTTACTACCAGTGCATCTAGAAATGAAGATGAAGGGGGAGAATGGTTGGGGCTCTGGTAGAATTAATTCAGCAAATCATTAGGTATAAGAAGAAAGAGTGGTTGGCCTCCTGAATTCTCTCTGTTTGAATCCATGAGAATCTATTACCATAACTTTCACCTGTACCAGTGATTACAAAAATAGTGATTCTATAAGATCTTTTACTATTTATAGAATACTTTCATTCCTTAAATAATTAAATGGTAAATTAGTTGCAAAATATAGCTCTTTTTAATGTATGAAAAAGTTCAATACATTTTTTAATCATAAAGCTGAAGAAACCTATTTTATCAGTTTTGTTTTTGCCATGGTCTTATGAAATTATTCCAAAATGCTTAATTAGAAAAGACTGTAGCTTAATTAAATTTGATGTTGTAATTATTTATTGAGTACCTATATTCTAGATAATTACTATTGGTTGCATTGGAAGATAACAGCCACCATGAACATAGGTGCACCTGCAGGCTCCTGGGAGATGATCTTGTAGGCAATTTTAGAATTCAGGTGATTTTCTTCATCTGCATCTGTGGCACTTAACTTTACTACCAGTGCATCTAGAAATGAAGATGAAGGGGGAGAATGGTTGGGGCTCTGGTAGAATTAATTCAGCAAATCATTAGGTATAAGAAGAAAGAGTGGTTGGCCTCCTGAATTCTCTCTGTTCGAATCCATGAGAATCTATTACCATAACTTTCAGCTGTACCAGGGATTACAAAAATAGTGATTCTATAAGATCTTTTACTATTTATAGAATACTTTCATTCCTTAAATAATTAAATGGTAAATTAGTTGCAAAATATAGCTCTTTTTAATGTATGAAAAAGTTCAATACATTTTTTAATCATAAAGCTGAAGAAACCTATTTTATCAGTTTTGTTTTTGCCATGGTCTTGTGAAATTATTCCAAAATGTTTAATTAGAAAAAACTGTAGCTTAATTAAATTTGATGTTGTAATTATTTATTGAGTACCTATATTCTAGATAATTACTATTGGTTGCATTGGAAGATAACAGCACTTTACCAAACAGCCAAAACAATATAATTATTGAAAAGGTGATTTGTCCATAGGAATATAAGAAGTTCTTAATTATTTATAGGGACAAAGAACAGGCATCCTAGGCCAATCCCCAAGGACATCAGTCCACGGGGCCGATATTCCAAAGTTGTCAGGTCCCTGGCATTCTTTTTCTTCCAGCCAGGTCTCAAAGTGAAAAACTCTAGCACAGAGAACCAGGAGCCCCTTGAATAAAAAGTGCTAGGGTTCATGGAATTCGCAGTTTATGAAAGTGCACCCTCGCCTTGTAGCCGTGTGTTCAGAAACTATCTTCACATGAGGAAGAATTTACAAAGCTGGTAATCAGCAACCAAAAGGACTTGGTTGTGGGTTTCACCTTCTTTTCCTTTACCAAGTATTATTGAGAAAGCAAAGGTGGACTTTGGATTTCCTTTCTCTGCTTTGCTTCTCTTTGACTCTATGTCCTCCCAGCCTATGTCAAAAAAACAAAAAAACAAAAACAAGCAAAAAAACCCCACAAAACATTTTCTGTTTATCTGCCATTCTTCTGAAATTTAAACTTATTTTTTCTATTATTTTCCTTTGCAAAATATAGCTCTTTTTAATGTATGAAAAAGTTCAATACATTTTTTAATCATAAAGCTGAAGAAACCTATTTTATCAGTTTTGTTTTTGCCATGGTCTTGTGAAATTATTCCAAAATGTTTAATTAGAAAAAACTGTAGCTTAATTAAATTTGATGTTGTAATTATTTATTGAGTACCTATATTCTAGATAATTACTATTGGTTGCATTGGAAGATAACAGCACTTTACCAAACAGCCAAAACAATATAATTATTGAAAAGGTGATTTGTCCATAGGAATATAAGAAGTTCTTAATTATTTATAGGGACAAAGAACAGGCATCCTAGGCCAATCCCCAAGGACATCAGTCCACGGGGCCGATATTCCAAAGTTGTCAGGTCCCTGGCATTCTTTTTCTTCCAGCCAGGTCTCAAAGTGAAAAACTCTAGCACAGAGAACCAGGAGCCCCTTGAATAAAAAGTGCTAGGGTTCATGGAATTCGCAGTTTATGAAAGTGCACCCTCGCCTTGTAGCCGTGTGTTCAGAAACTATCTTCACATGAGGAAGAATTTACAAAGCTGGTAATCAGCAACCAAAAGGACTTGGTTGTGGGTTTCACCTTCTTTTCCTTTACCAAGTATTATTGAGAAAGCAAAGGTGGACTTTGGATTTCCTTTCTCTGCTTTGCTTCTCTTTGACTCTATGTCCTCCCAGCCTATGTCAAAAAAACAAAAAAACAAAAACAAGCAAAAAAACCCCACAAAACATTTTCTGTTTATCTGCCATTCTTCTGAAATTTAAACTTATTTTTTCTATTATTTTCCTCTAAATGCATGCAAAGGTATATGGGCAGACATAGACTTGAAAGGGAAAGGGATATTGCAGGACTGGGGAAGAAAGAGGCAGAAGGAAAAGACAGAAGAGAGAGGGAAGCAGCAACATAGGGAAAGCATAAGAACAGGAAGGAAAGAAGTTCAGGAAAACGAATACAAAGAGGAAAAGGGTATTGGAGTTGGAACTGAAATTAAGCGAGATGGAAAGAAATGAAAAAAATGAGAGAGCACAATGCAACTTGCTGTGTAGACTGTGAAGACTGATGCTTGCTCTCAGTGATTGGTCTGATGGGTGTAGCTGCGTCTGCATCTCTACCTCGTGTGGTTCAGCCAAGGATTTTAAGGAATAGACCAGAACAGAGCCTTTTTAAAAAACGTTTATGGTTTCTTCCTCAGTTTGCTCACTTGGATTAAAGTTAATCGTGAGCCTGTAACAGTCTCTGAGAAAGGTGCTAATGAGCACCTGCTAAATCACACGTACAGTATAAGACTCTTCCCCAAGTAAGAGGATATTTAGCATTTTAGATATGATTTTTTTTCTATCTCAGTTATGTTAGAATTTGTGGGGTTTGTTCAAAATACAAGTTTGCCTTTTTCTGTTCTTTAAATTACATGTATTTCAATCTTCTAAAGCTTTGACCAAGAGAAACAGACATGGAATAATGCAGAGAAGGAATGTCCTTCTACTCACTAGCGTCGCTGTTTTCTTCAATGCTGGTGGCGTACACGTTTTGTGTAAAGACCGGAGGGTTATCATTTATGTCCATGACTTTGACTCTAAGCTCAAGAGGCCTTTCTAAATCTTCACCCCGTGAATTCAGAGCCCGGCAATAGATCTGTGGAAAATTGAAAACAAACCTGTCTTTTTCCACCAAAGGAAATTAAATACCATGAAATTAAGCAACATGCCTGAAAATATATCTGAAAATATGCAGAGAAACAATTTTTACAGGGAATTCAGACTATATTACAGTTTAATAATTTAAATATCATCAAAGCATTTGATTGTGTGCACGTGCCACACACCAGAGAATCCTGAATTATAAACTTATTTTCATGCTCTTTCCGTCCCTGCAGGACTTTCATTTGGTTTCATCCACTGCATTTTATCAAAAGTAAGTCATAGTGATGAGATGATATTTTTTAAAGGGATGAAAAATAGTATGAATAAATGAAACATACGGCTGTGACTTACCAGGAAGAGTGGAGTGATCTCTCTGTCCACCACCGAAGTGATGTTAATTTCCCCAGTGCGAGGGTTAATGGTGAACACGCCATAAGGTGGTCGATCAATCCCTACCCCAGAGATTCGATATGTAATCTTCTGGTTCACTTCACAGTCTGAGCGAATCTATGAGGAAAATGGCTAGGATTGTGATCTCATTTAGAGAAAATCATGAACTTCAGAGTGTGGTGAAATGAGAAGGAAATGACTTTCATAGCCAGATAGGCTTTGAATTGAAACCCGGCACCGCCATGACTTAGCCCTGTATGATCATGCAAAACACACTTAACTTCACCAGCACATTTCATAGTGGGGACAATACCACCTATGCCATAGGCTGTTGTGGGGATTGCATGAGGTAACATATATATAGCCCCAGCCTAATGTATATGTGCATTTGGCACATACACACTTGATGCTAGATTATTATTATTAACCATACATTGTTCAAGTCACTGATTTTTCTTTTTGCATCTAAAGAGTTTGACAAAAGACAATATTTACTATTTCTTTAAAGAAAATTTGTGTCATATTAATATGTACCCTGCCTAGACTTGGGTCTGAGATTTAGTCAAAGTGGTAGATAAATTGAGAAAATCAGAAGAGAAATATGGAATTTAGAGATAGTGGTAATAACTTTAGAAATTTAAACCTATTGTATCACTTTCCTGCTGAATAGATTTTTGGCAAATATTCTGCCATATTCATTTTGTTTTAATAGTTTTATATTTATTGCTGATAAATTTAAACTAAAATAGTTTAAATTTTGAAGTCTCACTTATACACTAAAGATAAGAACATTCACTAAAATATTGATTTGTTACCCAAACATCCATAATTAAATTGCACAGATGGAGATACAACTTTGGCTAGGTGAACCCTAATCCTTTATACATAGAAGAATAACCCACCGCCCGATGCATAGAAAAAGAAAAGAATATACAATATAAGTGAGATAACATAAAGCTACAGCTATGAGTTAAATTTAAATAATAAATTAAAAGTTTCCCCCAAATTTGAAAACTTCTGAGAGAGAATAAATCCCTTTTCTTGAGCTGAGGTTGTACATTTAACATCATTGCTGATACTTACTATATTTTTAATGCAGAGCTGTAAGGAATTCTGGTAGATAACTCTACTGTTGATTTCCTTAGTGGCCCAAGGCCAAGATGCCCAGACAGAGCTAGAGAAGCTGTTGATGTGAATCCTATCCTTTGTGGGTCAAATTATTACACATTCTTCTTTTAACTCCCCTTTCTCATTGATAGCCATTATTTGTGAAGGTCTTTTCAGACTCTCCTAGTTTCTGTATTAGAGATCTGGTGGAAACTTTTGACACTGTTCTTACTTTCTTAAAGTTCATTAGTCAAGAGCAGTAAGTGATAGCCATTATTTGTGAAGGTCTTTTCAGACTCTCCTAGTTTCTGTATTAGAGATCTGGTAGAAACTTTTGACACTGTTCTTACTTTCTTAAAGTTCATTAGTCAAGAGCAGTAAACGCTTGACTTTCTGGAGGGTCAGTCTTCAGACTATCACTATGTAAATACATTCCCTATCACATATACAGGCAGTAATGAACACAACACAAATGGATGGACGTAGCCCAGTTGGGCTGGAGATCTATGTTTTTCTTCTAGGATCACTTGCCACTCCCCTGCTCTGTGTCGGCCCTCAGAACATGATCTTCAAATCAGTGGCTCAGCAATGTGAGCAAATGACTACATGCCATCCTCTTAAGTCACTGTGAGCTGTGAAGCCTGCAAATCCTGGAAATATTTGAGAATCTTCCTGCCGGCTCTGTGTCGGCCCTCAGAACATGATCTTCAAATCAGTGGCTCAGCAATGTGAGCAAATGAATACATGCCATCCTCTTAAGTCACTGTGAGCTGTGAAGCCTGCAAATCCTGGAAATATTTGAGAATCTTCCTGCCATGCAAAAGCATTTGTTATCAGCTTGTTTTGTCACTTACTCTGGCAATCGGATTCCTCTTTGAGTTGTCTTCTCCTTCTCGACAGGCTGTGGCAAACTTGACCCACTCTCGTTTTTGTCTTCTGACAGTTTGCCATTTTGTAGTGCCGTTTTCAATGTCTAATTCTTTCACCTTAAGCAAAATGTTCACGTTTCTTAGAGTGTTAGCACAATTGTACTTAGGACATTTATTTAACATTGTAAGGTGCATCCAGAAGAAACAATGGTATCAAATTTGAGGAACAAAGAAAGTTTTTACTAATTTGCAACTCTACATAGCTATGGCTTGGTCACCCCCAGCTACTACTTTGGAGTCATCTTACTTCTCACTGTGATTCTAATGAAACAAATTTTATTAGCTATGGGTAGAGCTCATGTTGTGCTAGACTACATAAGATGCTGTAGTTTTTTCTTTCTTCAATCCATCCTCACCAGATGGGGGCCTTGCCTACCTCACCCTTCATTGAGCTCTGACCAGACTTTACAGTCTTGAGAGTTCAAAGATCACCACTGTTCCATGTGAATGAATCCCATACAAAATGAAAAGTTGTGCTGGTGACTTATGCTCACCCAAAAGAGGGAAGGGATTTTTATCATCTGTTGATGACACCACTGTGGTTAAACATTCAAATATGCAGGATTCAAATTGCAGGATTAGAGAAATATTATTAACTAAATTGATAGTACCTGCAGTGATCCAATGGGCAAATATAGGTTCTCAATGTTGTACATTTGTATCTCTGCTTGCTATATGTTTTTTCTTTTGTAGTCTTATGCTTCTATTGTTGGTTGATCTAAAGAATCTCATACTATTAAAGAGTTTAGGAATGTTGCTACATGCACAGACGTATTTGTATGAATGTATAAACATATACATATGTATATTTATTTTCGTAAATCCTAATATGCTTATTGAAATATAGGCAATTATATGTTTATTTAAGCTAAGGCTTCATTTAACAACCTTTTTTGGGGAAGAAAATATTCCATTGAATGAAACTTAACTTTACTAGAACTGGTGCATTTATATACCCCAACCCGCATTTGTATACAACTTCCTGATATGTAGCACATATTCTCTATTTTGGCAATAGAGATTAGAAAAGTAATTTATTTTTTCCAATGATTTAATATGATCATAACAAAACATGACTACTATGATAAAAAGAAGCTGCACCAGAGATAGAGGTCAGTAGCTTTATTTCCTGAGCTCCACTCTAAATGGCACTAGAGTCTCTGTTTTCTATTTAGTTGAGTTACATATTTATTTTATTGTTGCATGTTTCCCTCACAGATAGACCATCAGTGGTCTTTTTTGCTGATCTAAGTGTCTAAAAAATCCTCTTCCCATTCTAAAATATTACTTTGCTTCTTTTGCTTTCCATTGGTTGGGAAATGTATAAACAAGCTACTAGTATAGTTTGATAAATAGGAGTTACTGAGATAATGAGCTGTCATAACCATGCCCTAAAGGCATGGAAATTTGGGATTATGAGTTTTACCATTGCTATTTCAGTTTGGCAGAAGTTCTTTCTCTCAACTTTTACTTGGATGATTATGATTTCTAATATATGATGCATTACAAAACCCACTGTAAATTTTAAATCGAGAAAATAGTTTTATTATACATTACCTCAATAATAAATTCACTGTTTACTTCCAGCACCACCTGTTGGAGAAGACACAACATTAGCATAAACTTGCATAATATAGAGGAAGCAGTGTCATAAAACCATTGATAATATTCTTATATTAATTCAATTTCTTAATATACATTTTGTTAATAATATGGAATAAACATGGCTAATAAAAATAAACTTTTTGCCTTCCTAAGGCTTTTAACTTTCGGGAAGACAAACATGAACTCGACAGCAAGGCAGATTTGGATACCTGCTACCACACAGTCCCCGATGATGGGCTCAATGAAAGGGTATAGCAGAATGAGTGTTGGGAAGTGAATGCTGGGAAGGCTTCCTAGGAGAGTAGAGATGTGAATGGGCTCTGCAGAAGAACATTTCTGCCAGAATAGAACAAAAACACAGGTGTAAAGGCTCTAAGCTTCCAAGGGTGTTACAGAAATGGTAAATATCATTGGCTGGAAGGTAATACTGAGGAGTCATGGGAAACAACGTTTGGGGGAAGATCTTGAAGTGCTTTATATACCAGGCTAAGGAGTTTGGACTTAATCGGGTAGAGACTAGTCATAACAAAACCGTTGTCTTTAAGACATGTCATTGATGTGAAGGGAAGATTGTGAGGGAAAGCACCTGAAGTTGAGACACTTAGGAATGAGCAATTGATTAGGTAAGGCATAGTTAGAATGTGAACGCAGGTGATGGAGTAGCACTGGAAAAGGAGAGAAAATAAAGATATCATTAAAGAACTGATAGGGACAGAGACTGTGGGGTGCACGGAGAAGAAGATTCAGACCACTCTGGTGATTTTGGCTCCACTTTCTGGGAGGATAGAAGTACTGTTAATAGAAATAGAAAATTCAGCAGGAGAATATCACTGCATGGAGATGATGACTTAAGTTTGTTTTAGTTTCAATGTACTTCTAATATTTGAGATACATAAAAAAATCTGAAAAAGTGGAATTTTTCCAAACATTGGTATTATTTGAAGAATATGATGATACTGAATGAAACAATTTAAGAAAATAAATGCAGTAAGCAGGGAACAGAATCTTGTGGAAAATGCTTGTATTTGTTCAGGGAGAAAAAGAAGTCTAAAAGCAGAAGGATCTGACAGGCAAAGAGAATTAGAGGGGTTGAGGGACCAGGGTTGTGGGTGCAGAGCAGATTCTGTCAGTGTGAGAAGAATAAGTATGATGGAGGATTAGAAAGGAGGCAAGGGGCCGGCCCGGTGGCGCACTGCTACAGTGCGCCGCTTGGGAGTGCGGTGGCGCTCCCGCCGAGGGGTCGGATCCCACATACAGACTGGTTCCCGCTCACTGGCTGAGCGAGGTGCTGGTGCAGCACCGAGGGTTGCGATCCCGTTGCTGGTCCCAGTCCGGTACGGGCGCGACACTGAGGGTTGTGATCCGTTGCCGGACACGAAAAAAGACAAAAAAAAAAAAAAAGAAAGGAGGCAAGGAAGGTCAGAAGAATGCAGTGAAGAGAGAAAACCATTTTGAGGTGTAATCAGAGGAAAATTATGCACATACCTATTCCATAGCTTTGTGAAGTTGAGATGAGCAAGAGTGAGAGGGGCTGGAGGAGACCGTCAAAGGTCTCTAAGAGTCTGTGGCAGGGAAGGTGACAGGAAGCCAACTAAATGCCATGAGTCAGAAATGAGTGGTAGGTCTGCCTAGCGTTCTTGCATCAGGAAACACCTGAGCTCAGAATATTAGAAACGCTGAAAATAAACTATTATTCCAGAGCTGATGAAGAGTGTGTGGACAGGGGAAATGAGGAAGGAAGAATAGGAGATGTAGCCCCCCTTCTGTGACTTCTCTAAGCAGAAATGGGCAGCCTGGGCATGGGAGGAGCAGGAGGAACGTGTCAGCTGTCCCAGGGTTGGGGGTTGTCCTCAAGGTGGAATGGAGGCTTAGAGAGGAGATAACATTCTGTTCAGAACTCTAGTTGGTCAGGGAGCAGAGTAAAACCAGGGAGCTCCTCTGAACTGAGAGGCTAAAGAGAGACGGGGACAGGTGGAGTGGGTGCCGAGAAGAGTGGGTGCTGCTGGTGTCAGGGGCTAAGAAGGAACGGAAGGTGTAGGTGGGGGCTTTGGAATGACAGCTGAGTCCAGAAAGGGGAAAAATAGGGATGAGAAATTTGACAGTGGGGCATCATGTCTCCTTTTAACTTATTTTTTTCCTCCCATGTAATTTATTAGACATCCACAAAATGGCTAGACCTGGAGAAGAAAATCAATATGTAATAGAAAATGGTCTTATTTAGTTGCATTGGATGTTTTATTTTATAACAAATATTGCCTTTTGGGGGTAAGATATTCCTTTTGTTAGAAAAATAGATGATTCTGGAAGGTATAAGAAAAAGTAAAAATCACACAGAATCTCACTACCTGAAGATTGGCAAAATTGTTTGAGTCTTTATTCACAAACCCAAACTTACATGAATTGTAATTTTTTTAACCAAAAAGAAACCATAATTTTATCATTTGCTTTTTGCACTCAACGATTATCATGGTAAAGTCCCATGTCAATTATTAAACTTTCCATGTCAATTACTACATGGAGACATACATTTTGGTGGTTGCCTTATGTACCACTTTAATAGCTTCTCATTCTGGTCACTGGGGCATCAGGGTAACTGAGAACCGGTGCATTCTGCAGTTTAGTGTTGCAGACTAACTCTAACATGGGATTCTCAGGCACTGGCCTTCAGTGGGAGGTGAACTGGAAATTCTGCCTTGGTGGATGCCAGAAGGCTGGTGACCTTGGCAAGTGAGCCCATTTTTAGCAAAAATCTTCCGTTTGCCTTCAGCTATACATTTGTCACTCTTTTCTCCCTCTCCTTTTTCACTTCTCCTCTTCTCTGTTTTTCTTCTCATTGATATTCTCTTCCACTTGTTTCTTTCTCCCTTCCTAACATTGTCTTAGGTCCGATAGAGAACCACAGTAGCAACACAGTGTTGCTTATCTCTCCCATCTTGGTGAGGACAAGCCGAGCTGTGGAATCTCAGAGCTATAACCATCCCAATAACTTAATTTTAACTTGAAGGTAGTAATAGTGGGACCTGTATGGGGGTTTTGCTCATAATACAATCAGAGATGTGGCAGGTAATTTGAAGACTATTGTTTTTTTTTTTTTTTTTTTGTCTTTTTCCGTGTCCGGCAACGGATCGCAACCCTCAGTGTCGCCCCCGTACTGGACCGCGACCGGCAACGGGATCGCAACCCTCAGCGTTGCCCCCGCACCTCGCTCAGCCAGTGAGCGGGAACCGGTCCGTATGCGGGATCTGAACCCTCAACGGGAGCGCCGCCACGCTTCCCAAGCGGCGCACTAGCGCAGTGCGCCACCGGGCCAGCCCAGAAGACTATTGTTTTTACTAATTGTTTAGTGGAATGCATTCCCACCATGGTTTCTGCCTGCTTACAACAAGCCTACAAGGTTGTTATTGTATCTATGCGGTGTAGAAACAGAAACTGACAACGGACTCAAACCACCACTGTACTGATAGTTTTATTTACTCAACACCTACCTAAAGCTTCTTTTGAATCATTTGATATTATTTTACCAAATTGTTCTGATTTTCACTTGAATTTTAGTATCACATAATTGTGGCCCCTGGCTCTGGGTAAATATTGATGTTTGTGTTGACTACTCCTAATATTATCTTGTAGAGGTCTTCAAAAATTTTTGCTCATGTAACTCTAAAACATTTTTGAAAAAAATAGTTGCTTCCTCAAATCTTTCTATAGTGGCAGCTAAGCCTTTCATCATCACAAAGTTGAAAGGTTGCAAAGGATAAAATTTAGGAATATTATAAATGTTGATTTTTAAAAAATAAATTAATAAAAATAAAAGTTATATCATTTTTAACTGTAACCAACAAATCTAAATGTCATTGTTATCTGATGCCCAGTGTCATTCATTAATGGGTACAAAGCTACAGGTAAATAGCAAGAATAAGCTCTAGTGTTCTAGGCTAACAAGAGGTAACATAACTATAGTGTATATTTCTAAATAGCTAGAAAAGAGGATCTTGACTATAATCACCACAAAGGAAAGGTAAATGTTCAGGGGCTAGATATGCTATCCACCCTAAGTGAGTCATTGTACAGTATATGTGTGTATTCAAACGACACACTGTACCCCACAAAGATGTATTAGTAAATAGTAAAATATTTTGAATTAAAAAATAATAAATTAAAAAATGCAAATATTTACAATTAAATTTTAAAATTAAAAAAAATAGATAAATAAGTTCTTTAACAGATGGGAATATATTTCACTTCTATTTCTGCTTGAACTTCTGTATCTTATTTCCATTGGTGAACCATCCTCTCCATAGATTTATTTTTAAGGTTCTAATATATTTTAAGTCTTTTATTGGAAGTCTTTCATACTTCTCCATAACAAAAATATATATATTAATAGAAATTTTATTTTATCAAAATTTCTATAATTGTAAGGCTCTAAGTGTTAAAAAACAAATTCTTCTGGATTGGATTAGCTTTACAATTATAATTCACAGCACAATTGAGCAAAACAACATTGAGCAAACAGCATGCAAATATGGAAATTTTGAAGTGACATAATTAAATATAGAAAAGAAAACTTTATTAGAAATTCAATTACAAAGAGATGGATTAAGTTTTTAAAAAACTAGTTTATACATATTACTTACTAGTAGAATTAAACAAGTTTCAGCACCAATTCTACTTTGTTTGGTTTTGTCTTTCAGTTGTAAGTACTGAGAAAATTTGTTCACTTAGGTAGATAATATAGAATTTTTTTTTAAGTAGCAGAATCTTTAAATTCTTTAACCTTATTCTGAAGTACATTACTTAAATCTATATAGTAACTATATTAAAAATGATTTTTAATGACCAATTAGCTGAAAACGCTATTAATTCTTTTAAAATTTTGCTGCAAACAAATAATTGAAATGACTTGCAAAAGGATTTATTTCAAGCTTTACAGTCAATTCTCTTTCTCAATACTGACATCGATATTTTGAATTATTCCTTAGTTTAGTGCC